CCACAAAGAAGAAGAAGAAGAAGAAGAAAAAGAAGAAATACAAAGCACATAAACATGGACATGTCTTGGCTGATGAAGATCAAGTAGAAGAAGAAGAGACTACTCAACATATGTAGGGTTTGTCTTCGATCTCTCTTTGAAGATCTCAGCTTGGCAACAAAGTTATTGTCTTGGGGAATCAAGCATCAAGGTCCGATCATTTGCCACTTCATGATCAATCAATTCAAATCACTTCGATCATTTGGTTAATTTAAAGTTCAAACCCATCTTTTTAATTGTGTTATTTTTCTATTTGTATGGTTATGGTGTTATGGTGTGTTCTACAATAGAAGCTAGTTATGGTGGTTTTTAGGGTTTGCTACTACTACTTTTTAGGTCTAGCTTTTAGATGGGTATGGTGTGGTTTTAGCTAGGGTTTTTACCTTTTAGGTTTTGGAAAAATACAAACAAGGCTTTATCATGTTTCGGTACGAAGAGAAATGATCTATCTCTCTCCTGTTTTGTACTAGCGTTCTGTCCGAGTTTCCTTGTTTGTTTGTTTCTATATTGTCTTTGGTGCAAAATAAATGCTTTTCTTATGATCTTCAACTGTGTTCAGAGGTTTGAGTACGTACTGATTCTTCAACCGTATCAATACAGATACTACGAATCAGATATGGATTATAGGGTTTGCTATACTCTCTCTTCCTCTCACACTCACAATTAGCAATGAATTTCTTTGCTTCTTGTATTAATATTTCAAGATCAATTTAGTTCAATCCTCAATGCAAATGGTCAAGAGGGCTAGTCTCTCACTGTTACGGAATTTGTGGAGACTTATCCCATCATAAAAAAAAATTATGTCAGATTTTGACTCCATGACCTTGAGGACACGATGAAACAACATTTCCGTGAATAAAAATGCAAAATCCAATCCAAAAGAAAAGGAAAAAAGAAATTCCTCAAAGGAAATAGGTGATAGACAAGTTGAAATGTTGGATTCGAACCATGTACTTTGGCTAGGTATGGATGTTTATGTGAAATTTTCATCTTACTGATGTGTTTCTGGCTTCTCCATTTAACTCCACAAGTTAATTTCTCATGAATTCCAAAAAAGAAAAAGCTGGTTTTTTCATGAAATAATGATGACCATGACTAGTAAGTACCACCACAGGCACCAAGAGATCTCCCCTTACCTGCCAGATACGTGCATCATTGCTATATAGCTATATCTATCTATCTAATCTATCTATATAAATATATATTATATTATATGGTTTGTACTCGAATTCTCTCTTCATTTAATAGAAGTTGAACTCAACCTACTCATCCAAAAGATATTATTACTGTAAAATTTTAAAAGAAACTTGGGCTTTTTATTTGACATGATATCACAGCTTTTTTCTTTTCTTTTCTTTTTTTTTTTTTTTGGTTGATTTTTGGGACTTGGCCTACCCTATATAGCTTGGGGTCTTGAAATGCATAGTATGATTACGGTGCATGTGGCCAGGTTAATTATTACTTCCTCCTCTCAAATCAAATTAAGAATTGTGAGTTAATTTGGGAGACTTAATTTAAAATGGAAGGAGTAACGGAATCAAATACAATATGAAATCAAAATTCAATAGATTTCAAACTTGGTGGTTTAAATGGGATAATTAACTTGGTACCTGCAACATATTGCTTTATGAATGGGATGAGACGTTTGTATATATATGAAGACTGACCAAAAATAAACAAAATATCAACAATGATACTCTAGTATGATAAAGTTAGATTAAAACACTAATCAAAGGTGGATTTTTACATGAATCCCACTTGGAACATATTTAAACATAAATAAACCTTCAATTAGTGTTTTACGTTTAACTCATCCACCTAAATATCATTTTTCAAAAATGATATAGCAATTTAATTTGACTTTGTGGCATTTAGGTATTATGTTATTATTAAGCTTTTCACAAAATATGTCTAGGATATAATAAAATTACTTGAATATATGAACACTCTTAATTTAAATAGAGTGACCATTACATAGTGATATTTTTTTGTCCTTCAAAGTAAATAATTTAGAATTTAAGTTCTCGTTAAAATAAATACTATGTAAGTGAGTTTCTTTCCAAGAGAGTCAAAAGAGAGCGAGTGAGAGAAAGTGATCAATGAGCTATAATAAGTTATGATTAATTTTGAGAAATTCTACATGTGATATTTTGACACAGAGAGTTGGTAATGTTTGAGAAGAGTATCAAGTGTCAAAATATCATGATATTGTAAAATTATCTAAATAAATTTTTGTTTGCACAAGATCACACGTGCTAATTAAGTGTAATTAAAAACAAAAAAAAAATAAGTGCAATTAATTTCTAAATGTAAATTAAAAAGTGTCACTCTATAAACTTTTCCAGAACTTACTTTTTCAGGGCTACTTGTACTACAATTGGAAAGAACATAACATCAATCACAAAAATGTACTCCAAGTGTAATTAATTAGGGCAGTAGAACAAAGTGATGGGAAATAACAAAGTGATAGCGAAGCTTTTATCAAGTTTGGGAATTGAGGCGTTAGAGTTTGTGTTTTCTTGGATTTGAGGCTCTTCTTTGTGATCGATCGTGTCAGCTTTGAAAAACTTCATTGACAAGAGTGATAATTCTTCTATCAGTAGGTAGCAAGCCGCGATAAAGGGGCTGTATTTAATATTAAATGAAATAGATGTGATAGACATTTTGAAGCAAATTTTAAATTAAAGTTTATCGATAATAAAGGGTTCCGTAAAGAATTAACACTGAAATTAAAGAAATTTGAGTTTGTTTGGTTTATTATTCAAAAAATAGTTCTCAATAATTTAAAAAATAATTCTTAATCAGTAGAATTTTTGTATATTTTTTTAATTATTTAAAAACAAAAAATTATTTTTTGAATGACAAATCAAACAAATTCTTAATTTTTAAATCAAGATCTAAATTTGTAGGTAAAAAATTGGGTTTCACTAATTAGTTCTTCAAAAAATTCTTTGACAGCGAATCCATGTCTAGTGTGATGAGGGATATAGGATTAATATTAAATCAAGGCGAATCCATATCTAGTGTGACCAGGGATATAAGATTAATATTGAATCAAGGCGAATCCATATCTAGTGTGACCAGGGATATAAGATTAATATTGAATAAAAGTTTAATAATAAACTCCAGGACTTTGTGATTAAGTGATATTTTTTAAACTTTTAAAATGTATAATATTAGGAGTTTCATAGCCTCAACAAATGATAATACGATGTCGTCTTTGTAATTTTAAACCATAACTATGTAGAAGAGATAAACATAATCCTAATTTTTCACATTTATTTTGATAAATATAATATATATATATATATATATATATATACACACACACACTACATATATGCCATGTCTCATTAAAATTGATAATAGACGTCATAAGTTGGCGGTCACAGTTGAAGGAGTACGTGTAACATAGTAACGGCGGCTTTTAGCCTTTTACATCAACTACAGCTACTAGTCATTTCAGAGTTCAGACTCCTATGTTCTGCCTTGTGAACGTGCGTGTATATATATATAGATATGGTCCTCACTTTTACTAAACCAAAGAACAATCTTAATTAGTTATTAGTTATAACTAATAGTCACTCTCTTCAGAGGCTGAATGGCTGATGTGCATTACATACACCATAAATTAATAAATTATAGATGGATCAAATCAAACCACTCAATTTGGAAACACATCACATGCTCTATGCAATTTTTATCTGGAAATGTTTTCAACTCCATGGATATGACGCAACAAATCTGGGATTTGAAGCCAATTTTGTTTCTGAGCAACAACATTGAGAAGAGGAATTTCTTTGAGTCTGGTTAAGCCTCAAGAGGTATGGCTCTTAACCTAAAAAAAAAAAAAAAAAAAAAAAATTGTGCAATATCAAAGTAAGTGAAATATGATTTTAGAATAATGATTTATTGTCCGAAAATTTCGAAATGATGACCAAAATGCTTCCATTCCTGTATGCATAAAGTGAAATGAGTCTTACTTCATGCATCGCGTGGATAGGGGAGCATTTGATTTTCCAGTTCGAACTATTTTTAAGTAAACTTAACACTACTAGTTATGAATATATTATGCTTTTACATTTTATAACATCCTTAGAATCCTAGTTAGCCATAAACTATTGTGTAATGACTTGTTGAACCTAGATCTTCTCTTGTGCCGATGCAACAATTTTACATTACTTGTGTAATAAATTTTATATCATTTATGCAGCAATTACCTTAAATTGGTTACGCAATAATTTTATATCGCTAATTTATAACTGATGTATTATAAGTAAGTTTGTAACTCTGAAGATAGTTATCAGAAATTCAGAAAATAGAGAACAATTTTTAGAAAAAATAGAAAACAGTTTTTAGAGAATAATAAAATATTGTTCTCTGAAACATGTCTTTTAATAATTGAATTTTCAGAAAATTGAACCAAACAGAGTTTTTTTGTACAGTTTTTTTTTTTTAAATTTTTTTTCATAATTACAAACCAAGCATGCCTATATTTCTACAAAATAGTACTGAATTATAATATAATAAAAAGACTTTGACACGTGACCAGCCAAAATTTACAAAGAGTTGTAATTCGAGTCCTTTAGATCTTTATTTTTCGAAGTCCTCATTTGAAGGAAATTTCAAAAAACCTAATGGATAGACACAGAAATAACTGGGCTCAATCTGTTTTGGGTTAGTTGAGCACTTGAACCTAATTTAGTCATAATAACTGGGCCAAACCAGGTTAAAAGTTAAGCCATTTAAGTCAGAAACCCGAATAGAGTCCAGTCCAAATCTTGTGTTTGTGTTGTTGTTGTGAAGGTATTCAAGGTAGTGTGGCGTAACTTCACTGGACCGAGTGGCTGTGTATTTTCTTCGCTGATATTTTTTCACAACGTGTGGCGTACAAGGCCTTAAATAAATCTTTAATCTGATTATACGAAACTATATATATATATTTGTATCTATATCTCTATATTTATATATGTATATGTCTATATAACAGAAATATTTGTTAGGGAGTCACTGTATTGTTTTTTTTTGCAGTTGAAATTAATTTGAATCGCCATGAGAGCTCTTCAAGCATCAACCTCTTACAGTGTCGGCATTTCGTCCTTCGCAACCCCTCCACGGCGTTTCCGTCACCGTCATGTAATCGTCGCAAAAGGTAACCGACAAATTTCAGAATTATCGAATTCACATTCTGTTTCAGAAAAAAAATCATTTAATCGATTCAACTTAACCCTAAATTTGTTGTTCCTATGTGCAATAGGAAGTTCACAAGTTCAATCTGCAACTCTATGTTATGTCTTGTGGTACATAAATTAAGAATTTGGATTTAATCTATGCTTTGAAGCTTCATTTAATGCTCGTTGCTTGCCTTCAGATTTAATTTTGATTTACAATCGTTTTGTAGTTAGTTGTAAATATGTTTTTTTTGTTGAAATTGATAATAACCTGTACAACACTTGTAATTTTGATTTACATAAATTCAGGATTTGGTTTTAATCTATATTATGAAGCTTCATTTCATAGTAGTTGCTTGTCTTCAGAATTAATTCCGATTTACGAGCATTTTGTGGATTAGTTGTAAATATGGATTTGTTGAAATTGATAATAACCTGTATAACACTTGATGAAGAGAGTTATATGTTACAGTTGCTTCATTGATATTGGAGTTCAAATTTTGTTCTTTCAGTGGAACCTACGGACAAGTCTGTTGAAGTAATGAGGAAGTTTTCGGAGCAGTATGCTCGTAGGTCGGGAACTTATTTCTGTGTTGACAAAGGAGTCACCTCTGTTGTTATCAAGGTATTTTTTTTTGTTCTCAATTTGATTAATGTTTGGAGATTTGAATTACTAGTATTATTTTTCAGGTAAGTAGTTTGAATCATTAATATGCACATGCTTTGACTTTCAGATTGTTTGTAAATACCCCTTGAAAACATGATCATGACTTACATATCTTGTTCTTACGCCTTTGGGGAGTGGAAGCCATTGTATATAGCTTGTCTGTTAGGTAATGTCAATAAGTTTGATTAATAAATATATTTATTATTAAAGGGTATTATAGATGCTAGTCTTGCCAGTGTGTGTCGTTGGATGGGCTAGAGCAGAAATAGACCTAATGTTTTGGTGTTTGTTTGTTTGTTTTGCTGCTGTTGTTGTTGTAGTTTTTTATTAAATTTATTTATTTATTTATTTCACAAAGTGACTGCTTTGAGACTTGTACTCGTATTTCATGTTTGGCACCTGAATTCTTACTATTGAATCACGTGATGGTTCTTAGACACTGCAATATGTAGGGGAAGTAAAAATAATCATGTTTGTGTTCAGCCCAAATTGTAGCATATCTTAGATAGAAAAAAAAAGTAAAATCAAATGCGTAGACGCTGAATTTTAAATATTCAAGCGTGGTTGTGCAGGATGCGCTGCTCTATAAGTGTTTTGTTTTTTTTGTTTTTTGTTTTTTTTTTTTTTCCACCATACTGCAGGCATATACTGTATTCTAGTCATAGGAAGAATTTTAATTGGTTGTCACCTTTGATTAGAAGGGACCACATTGCGTGCTGAGTCTGCTGACCTTATGTGTTATATCAGTCAGCTAGACTATGCTATTTGTAGGGGTAAATATTACATTCGAAGTGTGGAGGTTCATAAGCAAAGAATATAAGATAGACTTGAGATGGTATGTGTGTGTGTGTGTGTATTATGAATCTTAGTTAAATAAGGATTAGAACTGAGGCAGTAGTTAAAATTGATTGTCAGGTAAGATCTAAAAGAAAGCATTGCTTATATCTTGGTGAGATAAATTTTAAGGAAAAAAAATCAAGGAAAGTGATTATAGCTTAGAGGAACGTGTATGGCTGCAGGAGCAGGGAAGGGATATACTATTTAGAGATCCGAAGCACTTGTCCAGAAAATAATCCGTTGAAACAGGTTAATGAATCTCACTTATCAAACAAAATATATGCACTCGCTAACATCTAGTACATAGATACTTTATGGGTCAAAATTTGAAATGAAACAATTTTATAAGAAGCTTTAATCAAGGTTCATTTGAAAGACCGAGCAGCACATTGATTATTGTTTTAGTTCACATAGCAATAATTTTTGAAGGTTAGTATTAAGTGATGTGTCATTTTCTTTTTTAACTGCAAATCCAGTGATGAGATATCTTGAGTTACATGACAAATTAAATTTGTCTTTGAGGTTCTGTCGCTTGAGAGAAGAATAAACCTTACATTCTCTCAAGTTGGATTATAAAACTGCAGATTTGGATTAGGTGCATCACCTAGTATGAGAAATCCTTGCAACTAAGGAACATGTAATTAGTGTAGAGTGTATGAATTGAAGAGGTCCTCATGCAATAATACATGACCATTATTTAAGTTTGACTATCAAATTGATCAGGATTTATGGTTAATGTTGGGCAGGTGTGAAACATTAACTGTATATGAGGAATGTAGTTAAAGAAAGATGCTGATACGGAAAACTGAAAAGAGAAGAAAGGATACAACTACAAGTTGCATTTGTGAGATGTTAGCAATTGTGCCAACTGGGGAAAGGATGAGAGAAGGTTGATATGGTCTTGTCTTTTCCCAAGTAGGCAAACAATGGTGATAGTCAAATGGAATGAGGTGGTTCAAGTTAAATGCATTACAATGATAAAGGAAAAGCCAAAAACGATCTAGACTGAGATGGGGTAGAAAGACATGACAGCCTATCATTAATAAAGATCATGCCCCGAGTTCATGGGCTGTGTTCATGTTCTTTGGCACCTATAGTTGAACAGTTACTTATTAGAAAAGGATATGGCTATAGATATAGCGAATGGCCAAAATGGATTCTTGTAGTAGATCTCGAGCAGTTAAGTTGAGGTTTACTCAAATAATTGAGTTCAAAGATGGAAGAATGCAATTCAATTGTCCATGACTTATCCTAAATTTCTAAATCTTTTCATTTGCAATTGGAGTTAGCTGGAATCAGTCACTGTTTATGGTAGGCTATATTACAAAGTTCCTCAATCAGTTTTACTGCCCTTTCCGATATTTTTAGGTGTCAGGCATTGTAATAATATTTGGTCATGTTGTGTCTTCAAACTTGATTTAAAATATTTATTTTTTTCTCAGCAAATGCTCTTGAAAGTTGTTGATGCATGTTATACGGAATATTATTAATACTATGCTGAGTGGGCATGATGAAAATTTAGACTGCTAAAACTAGGGGAAAAAAAAAAAAAAAAACTGCTTGCGTTGAATAGAATTTGTTAAGATTACAAGAGAAAGTGATGAGAGGAAAGATTTCAATCTGTAGGGGAAAGATCCTCTGATTTTTTTTTTTTTTTTTTTCCTTTTCCCCCTAGAAGAATGGAATGCCCATTCCTTTCTCTATGGAGATTAATGGACATTTCAGATTTTTGTGGGATTGGCCATTCTAGTGGAATGGTTTTCCAACTTCAGTGTGGCTTGCGTGATCATGAAAAATGAACGTAGATCTTGAGTGGACATTCTGTTCCATTCTATTCATATGTACCCAATGTGGCTTTCCAGTATTCCCCATTAACACATGCACAAGCAGGAACTGCTTAACTCTAAGCAAATATTTGTTTATAATCTGGTAGTTATAATATTAGAAATGGCTCTGGAGATTTAACATCCTTACTTCCAAGCTGTCTTTGGAACTCACCACATGTTTAATTATTGTATTCAATGTTCATCTGTAACGTACATGCACAAAACTCATCTTGTGATGTAAACAGGGATTGGCAGACCATAAAGATGCATTGGGTGCACCACTTTGCCCTTGTAGGTAAACATTCAGTCCTAATAATCTTTTTGAGAAGAATTACTTGCTTTCATTGATACATCCATTCAAATGTCAATTATAGATTTAAATTAATCTTGTCATGACCATGTTGGGGGCATTTTTCTTCAGGCATTATGATGACAAACCAGCTGAGGCAGGTCAGGGCTTCTGGAACTGTCCATGTGTTCCCATGAGAGAGAGGTAGATTGCAATAGGTTGTAGTTTGCATACTAATTTTCTTGCACGGTGGGCATGTTGTAGGTTCCTTTTTCTTTACTAAGGACAATAGAGGACCATTTGGGAGTTTATTGTTTAAACGATTATTATTGTTAAGTTTCCCTTTTGAAGCAAGTTTTTTTGAGTGCCATTCTATCTTGACCATACACAAAAAAATTCTTTTGCATGAAACTTCCATTCGTCTTTGTTATTTGAATATCTAAAATCTACTCTCTGTGTCCCAAAGTGAGTGTCCATCTCTCCATTTTGGGATGTCCAAAAAAGTGTCCAATTTGGGAAGTCAATTTAATTTTTTTATTTTTATCTTTTCTAAATTATCCTTAATTTATTAGAACTTTTAAGATTAATAATGTATTTCTATATTATTAGAGGGCTAGTTTTGGAATTTCAAAGGAGACATCCATTAATTGTATGCCCCCTTAAAAAGTTGAAGTCCCCAAAAGGGACATTTATTTGGGATGGAGGGAGTGCTAGATTTGGCTTGATATAGTTGCGCCAGATGGTTCAAAATTGTGATTGTAAAAATTGCATGACAGAATGACCAAAATCATTAAATTTAGCAAACCAGGATGCTTGAGTACTATTTTTGGATAAAATATTCACAAATTTGAAATTTATTGGTTTAAATGAGGTATCAATTAGGTCTTCTACCCACACAATAATTAGATCATGAATTTTTTTTCTTGGGATGCTCAATTTTTTTTTTTTTTTTTTAAATTTTTATTTATTACGTGGAGTGAAAGTATAAGCAGACTAGACTATGGGAATGTAATTCACTGGTCTAGTATGGTCCACTTTAACATTTTAAATGCATTAGAACTTTTTAAAAATTTGTCAGCTTATTCAGTTGGGGACTTTGCATTTTTTATTCTCTAATATTTCTTTTAAGATGGAAGACATCAATATTTCTGGGCTTCCATTAGGGTGTAAGTGTGATGGTTCTTGTGATGTCAAGGATGGATAATTATGGTAGTTATTTTAGAACATTTTTGTGGCATGGAAAACGGTAGTTTGGTGCGCTTGAATGCAGTTCAAAAATCACTATTTTATTTTATTCATTCGAATATTTTGCTTGTGAGTTTTTTAGTTTTTACAGGTATTCAGCTTTCTGAATATTCAGTTTTCAGAATTTCAACAACACAATTTTTTAACTAGTCATTCATATTCTAATTGAAAGTTTGCTTTGGCAGGAAGGAGTGTCACTGCATGCTTTTTCTAACCCCTGACAATGATTTTGCTGGCCAGGAACAGGTAACCTTTCTTCTGTTTCAGAATATGTAATTTGAGATACTAAAGCATCATGTTGCTTGGAGTTTGACATACACACATTTATTATGAATCAAGATTTGATGTTACCATTGGTAATCTTTCGTGGCTGGGAACTCAGACAGAATTAGTTTAGAATGGGGGTTTCAGGTGCTCGACTTAAATATCATGTATTTATGCTTCGATGTGATGAGGGAGAGAATATAATCTGTTTTTAGAGCATTTGATTGCACCTTAATGCACTTGATGCATTTCAGTTCATGCTTAGATGTACATACACAAATACACAACACGCGCACGAGCGAAGATAGAGAGAGAGAGAGTTGGATGTACACAGGAACACACTTGCGCATAGAGAGAGACATTCATTCTAGCCTTAATTTCATGGTTCAAATTTTAATGCATTTGTGCATGTTATTGTCGGAGTTCTGTTACTTCTCTTACATATTTTATTTGTTTTTATGCTATGCAGACCATCTCCTTGGAAGAAATCAAAGAATCAACAGCAAATATGTAATGCTGTAGTGTATTGTATCAGCTTGCTTGAACAATCATGAATTGTCTGTATATTTGTATTCTAATCAACAACCAATTCTGGTTATGCTTTGATCTTTCCCACTGATATAATTTTCTTCATTACTGGCTCAAAGTAATTACCTTCCCATTCATGTTGGGAATCGTATCCCTAAGGTCACACCCCACATTCTCCAGGCATCGTGCTGTTATTGTTCTTTAGTAAGGTTATTTTCACTATGAGCTATCGCTGGATTGAAAATCTCTCTCGTTTCAACTCTCAATCTAAGGGATAACTCACAGAGAGTACTTGTTGCAGCTCGTTCCAGAGCCAAGCTTGCTGGTTTGGTTTCCGTGATCGTTAATAAGCTTTCGAATTGGACATATATTTTATATATATATTTTTTTCATAGTTGATACTTGCACACACATGTCTCCACAGAGGCTTGAACCCTGAACATCCCATTGGAAAGTAAGGGCCTAATACTGTTAAGTCACACATATTTTTGCTGCAGGTAAACCAAATGCTTAACGGGTGGTTAGGGTTTGACTCTTGGAAAACTTATCTAGGCTTATTCAACTGTTGTGTCAGTGGAGTTAAATTACTGCATGTCCAAACAAAGGAATGAATTCTGGAGAAGTTATTTAGAAAATCAAGCTTAGAGTTCAAAAATGCTAAACTAAGCTTAGCTTAATACTTGAGCCTGAACACGGGTTAAGATTCATCAGAAGTCTACTAGAATTTTGTTTATTTTCTGGATTTATATTATCATTATCAGATTTTTTGGTATGAGATGAAATTTGTTATGGCTAAAGAAGATGGTACAATATATTTATACTTATGTTCTCATATATAAAACGTCAAAATGCACCAACTGCAACAAAAAAACTTTTCACAGCTCATATGGGGGACGCCATGCCTAGCCGAATGTTCTTAGTTTGTTAAAAAAAAAAGATAATAATAAAATAATAATTGACCCCACGTGTCATACATTAGATCCGCATATGAAAAAAGAAAAAGATATATCAATAGCATAACATCAAGTAAAAATGATATAATCTTTTGTCTGTTTCCTTTAGAGAGTGTTTTGTTTAACAGAATTAAAATTTTAGTTTGAATTTTTACTTTTTGTGTTTTTGGTATAAATTATTTATTTATTTATTATACAACATTAAATGTATCAATTTGATCCTTTTTTTTCTTATTTTATTTTTTTCTTGTTAACACTGATCCTTTGGGGAGGCATTCAAAACTTGCATCCCGAGTTTACTTGATACTCACTGTACTCACCAAAGTGTAGGGTACACCCTCCATTATAAAAAGTGAAAAAAGAAAAAGCGAAAAAGAAAAACCTAATGGATGGAATTCTTTTTAGTCGGCCAAATTAAATTGCAACATATAAAATGTTCTTTTTTTTTTTTTTTTTGTAATTTTTACTTTAATTATATTTTAAACAAAAATGATATACAATAATCATTATCGTTAGTTAATTAATTAAATTTTTTTTTTGTGTGTTTAACATATTATAATTTCAATAATTAATTTATTTCTATTAACCTATTTGCTTATAAGTCGTCTGGCAACTTTTTGAGTCTTTGAGCAATTTCTATTCAGCTCTCTATTCTCTCCTCTCTCCTTTCTCTACTCTGTAACAATGAGACTAGGGTTACAGAGAACATTTCGACACCGGTGACGTCTTGTTTCGCTTTTGATTCACCAGAAAATCGAACACATACTCATATATACATACATAGCTTTTCTGTTGATTTCTGCAAACTCAAACCATTTTTGGCTGAGCCGGAGAAATGTCGAAGCCTCAGGTCACCATCACCCTGGGGCGTACTGGTCAGGTATGCATTTTCATCTCTCTTTCCTTATTTTTGGATCAAACTTGTGTTCACGAACTAGGATTAGGGTTTTGACACAGACTCTATTGATTTAGCATTTTTGTGATTACTTCTATTTCTTTTGGAATTTTTTTTTTTCTTTGACACAACTCTGAGCTTGAACTTCGTTTCTATTGCGTTAGTATTTTTGTAATTACTTCTATTGATTTTGGAGTTTTTTTTTTTTTTTTTTTTTTGACACAACTGAGCTTGAACTTCGTTTCTATAGATTTAACGTTATGTGTGTAATCTTATTGCTTTTGGAGAAATTTTTATTGTGTTTTTTTTGTTGCATAAAAAAAGAAGAAGCTATCTTCGATTATAGAAAGTACTACCATGACACTTTTTATTGCACTGAATTTATTTGTTATTTATTTGGCTATGTCTTTTCATTTGTTGATTTAGACAATGAAAAGCAGCTGATACACTATTTTGCTCTGAATTTTTTTGTTTGTTTGTTTGTTTTTTTTTTCTCTTAGGTAGGTGTTTTTATTTGTTATTTATTAGTGATGTACACTCAAATTTTTTTTTTTTTTTTTCTCTTTTCTTTTTCTTGAAGAGGGTTGTAAAGAGGCCACAAATGGAATATGATGGTGGACGTACTGATTCTCACCCATTATCGGGAAGCAAACGATCAGTGAGGGAGAGATTTGGAAGTAATGCTAATAACTCTTTTTCGCCCATGAACAAGCGGTTTGTAGTTTGCTCAATCTGTATCTCTAAACTATTTGCCTTTGGTTTGTGATCCCTTCAATGCTTGGAAAGTATGAGGGAAATGAAGCAAAATCATAAGCTCTCTCATCCTTTTTGAGAACCGGATTGAGGTTTAATGGTTTATACTGTAATGCATCCTTCAGATTCAAATATTTATGTTATTATTGAATTTTGGATGATACCTCGAAGCTTACTGTATCACAGGGTCAAGTGTTCATGATACTTGTTATTGATTCAACATTTACGGGTTAAATGGTTTTCTACAGGCTGCGAAATGATGTAAACGCATGGAATTCAGTTTATAATGGAGTGGGTGGCAGTGAGTAATCATCTAGTGCACATTTTACAGGCCTTGCTTTCTCATTTCTTATTATATACTGTAATTCTTAATTGTGTTACTCTGAAATGATTTTGTTGTGTGAAGAAGCAAGAATTGGTCAAAGTGACCTCCGGTTGAAACTGATGCGCAAGAAACTATCTAGGCAATTAAGGAATGAGGTTGACGAGCGCAAGAAGGTGGAATCACGTGAAAGGATCTCAAGAACTATTAGGTCTCAAGAGCGCAGCCATTTGAGGCGGATTTCCCCAACAAGAAGTGCAAGTGAATTGCAGCCAGTGGACTCTTTCAGAAAATATTATTCTTATAATGCAGATGGATTAAGATCTAGATCCCCCTATAGAGATCTCAAAGTCTCCAGGGGTATCTCACCACCGAGAAATATTGATGAACTGCGGCAAGTGCCATTAACAAGGCCATATGATGCTTCAAGAACTGCACCACGGATTATGGGCAATGATGCTTTCTATTCTTCTAGGCCAACAGGTACTGTACCTACTACCGCGAGAACTGATGCTGGCAAGCCAGCTGCTGGACTTCCACCAGTGAGTGGTAGAATGCCAAAAATTTCATACATGGTACGAGCCTTGCCTTCTTTTATTATGACTTCTCTTGCACCTGCATAATAATGGCTTATTTCCAAAAGATGTCAGAATTCCCAATTTAATAGTAATGCCTCGAGTTCACTGAGGTTCATTTGATTAGGGAAATACTTAACATAAAAGAACAAATATGCAAAGCTGTTTGGAGATTTTGATGACGCTAAGAGTTTGTTAGCTCGACATTTATAGAAGAGGGGATTGGGTAGAAATATTCTTGCTTTGAACTTTATGATGTAATTTAGTATACACAATGCTCACGTCAAGGTGTGAGCCTGTTAGGCCACTACTTCATTTCTGCCTCACACATTGAGGCATGAGGCTAGCACCATTCAGCTTTAAGATACCATTTTTAATTAATGCTGATGATAGACTCTACCGAGAACCCAATGATGTGTTGTATAAGGAAGGGAAACAAGATATGATTGCAGCATGCATTTTTGTGTTATCTAGGATCAATTATGTTTTGAAATGTTTCACATGGTATAGCATTATTGTCTCATAAATATCTAAATAACCAATCGGAGAGGAAAGATGTGTTGTTTTGATGTAGTTTTAATATCTCGCTTTGCTGGAAAGAATGACTAGTATTGGTCCTGCAGTTGAAATAGGTTATTATTATTTTTTATTTTTATTTTTATGTTGCAAGTCAGGAAGTTAAGGTAATTATTTCAGTCACATGTTATATAAATCATTGAACTTACTGATGTATAATATCCAGTTGGATGCCATTGTGGATTGAAGCCTGTCTCAATTGGCCTCTTAATTTTTTAATTTTTTGTGCGTCTCTCTCTGGTATATTGCTAAAATCGATATTATGTATCAACTTAATCTATTTTTAGTTGATTTTGAATGTATATTTGGTAGCTTTCATGCCTACTTTGTTGAATTAATTATGATAGATTGACGCTCAATTTAAGCTACTTTATTTATTTATTTTTTCCTGCATTTGCTATGTAGAAACTCCCCTTCAGATTTTCTAGTTATTTTCTAAATTTATACACCAATTCTTAACCATTAGAATTAATTATATTCTAATGTAGATGTGGCTGGCTGGTATGCTTTATATTTTAAAGTACCACCTTTAAGCTTCTGCATGACTGCTCATCATAACTTCTCTTGCTTTTTTTAGGGCGAACAACCTCTCACTGTTGCTAGCTTATTGCATTCACTTGGGTTAGGGAAATACGCCGTTCTTTTCCAGGCTGAGGAAGTAAGTAATCAGCTTCTTTTACCAAACTTGCTAAGTTAAGTGTCGAAAAATGGAAAAAGAAAAAAAAAAAAAAAAAAAAGAAAGAAAAAACAGAAAGATCTTCTATGCCAGGTTTTTTCATATTGGGATTTTGATTCGTCCTTTGTTTTGCTATTAGAGAATGAGAATCATCAGTTTCCAAGTATTGATGTATGAAAGTATAAATGATATTTAGCGTGTTGATGACTTTTATGTCAAGCAAATCATCAACACGAAATACCATTAGGAGCATCAGTCCGTGGGAGCAGTGACTCTAGGCTCTGAGAGTGGATCTTAGAATATCTAATATATATAATAGAAGCATGCATGCACTGAAGCACACTTATATTTTAATGGGTCCAGTACTCCAGTATACACACATCCATATTACAACCATGACTTGGACCCTGTACTTAGCCCTATAGGGGTTGTAAAATACTAATCAAGCTGAATATGAGGTAGAGCAGAATTAGAGGTCACGAAAAGTGCATCCTTACAATTGCAAAATGTAATTGGAATTAGAGCCGAAATCTACTGCATTAAAAAAAAAAAAAAAAAAATTGTTTTAGGACAAACAAGGGACTACATGGTCTGTGAAGAAAGATATGTTTGGTAAGTTTCAGTAGGTAGAGGATAAGCCCATACCAAAGCTCTCACTGATAGATCATTGAAGTTAACTTGGTATGTCTTTGGATGGGAAGACATCTAAGAACAACATTGGTTTTTTCATTATCAGTAGGCTGAACAGTAATGTCGCTATGATTTCTAGCTTTATAACTGGGGGTGTTATATGGGGAAAATCAGATCTTGAAAATATTTTTGGGAGACTCCCATGACCTTTGTGGTAACTGTTCAATTGGGTTAGAACCTAGGGAAGTGACTCTTTCTATATTCTGTTTGATGGGGAAAAAACATATGAAAAAAAAAAACGCTCTTAGACTATCACAACTGGCTGGATTTGGACACCCAATATTTGTGGACACCCTCCCAATTGTGCAGACGTGTTTTGAGGAAAATTGTGAGTAGCGAGTGGAGTGCGTGCAAAGTGGACAATATCTACACGATATGGGCGGGCCGTGACAGATGGTATCAGCGTCAATTCCTAGCCGAAAATAGGGGGAGCGTGCATAAGTCATGTGGGTCAGGTCACTGATGATGCTGGGTTCCAAGATGGGGTGATTGTAACTTCCCACATCGCCTGGGGGAGAAGTTGTTGAAACTTATGTGTGTGGACACCTCCCCTAATTGTGTAGACGCGTTTTGAGGAAAATCGTGACGACCAAGAGTAGAGTGTGCAAAGCGGACAATATCTACACAGTGTGGGCAGGTCTTGACAATGGTTGTCTTATAATTTGGAGCCCCGGATCATTCGGTTTATTTTCGTTCAAAGTTTCATAAGAGTTCTCCATGTTTCAGGAGCTGAGTTCTCACTAAAATCCTTCAACATTTATTGAAACAAAATGGAAAGAACCAATCAAACATGACTCATTTAGCAGAGAGACCCTGTTTCGAAACCAAAAGAATATCAGTACCTAGAAAAATATGAAAAACAAATAGTAAAGTCAAGAAAAGAACTACACAACAAAATTATTAGATTTCTTTTATATTCAACAATTCCCAAGGGTGAAGGGAAAGATAGGAAGGAAGGAAAAAAGTTCCTTCGTTTGGTAGAGAGGAGCAATGAGGGAAGAGAAAAGAGGATGGATGAGTCATCCTTCTTGCTTTCCAAATTTTCATCATCCAAATATGGACAGAAGAGAGGAATGAAGAGAAGCAATACTATTATGGAAATTTTAAATTACGATACTACCATTCATATTTATTAGATAAATCCAATATTAGTAATCTCTCTTCGCTTCTTTCTTAACAAAGTAAGGTGTTACCTCCTTCCCTTCTCTTCCATCCAACCAAACTAAAAGAAGGAAGGACGCTATCCTTTCCCTAAGGATGTCGCATCCATCTCTTATTCTTTCCTTTCTGTTCAATTTTCTTCCTTCGTACCAAATGAAGTTTAACTTTATATTATTCATGATGTTTATAATCAATCACTAATTCAATCACAGTGAGACTTCAAATGTAATTCAAAGTTATCATGATTTGAATAATTCATTTTTCAACAAAATTATTGTAAGTTTATGGATCTACTCACTCTCAAAATTGATTGTTGTTGCCTTCAATAATTTTTCATTCTTGCCATGAGTCATCTAAAAACCATAAGGGAGTTTTACGGTGTGAAAGAAGAGAGATATGCCGATTTGGGGTTTGACTTACCGGTTTGGGGTTAGATCATCGTGGGTGAAAGAAGGAGATCTAACCCCAATATAAAACATATGAATTTGGGGAAGTGGTGATAGTTTTAGAGAGATGAATCTTGAACTCAAAGATGAATCGAATTGAAGATTACTGTTGTAGTGTTGAGAAAGAGAGGAGTTGAAATATAAAAAATTACTTTAGGCTGTTTTTATTGAAAAAAAAAAGGAAAAAGAAACGAAAAAAGAAGAAAAAGGTGAGCCGATTTAGGGCACCAATGGGCCCTAGCTCTTGAATGGGCCATAGCTCTTGAATCGGCCGCTGATTTTGTTTGTCTAGATCTGCTCCACAATCTTGTTAGCTATTGGAATTAGGTCATTGTTTTAGGCCTGTCCCATTATCTTGTTAGTTTTTGAACTCTGTTTGGCCTTTGCCTTGTTTGGCTGTAGAACGCAATTCATTAAAAAATACCAAAATTCGATCCAAATATATAATAAATCATTCATCAAAAGCTCATATTCAACCATAATCCATAGTGGATCTTCCAACCAAAATCCATAATCAATGCATTTTTGAATCCTAATTTAAAATTGAAATAAAAACCTGAGCTTAAAATCGGATTGAATCTCTGGTCAAACCCATTCCGTTTCATGCCCTAACAAGAACTACAAAGAAAAGCCTGAATAATAAATATTATTAGAAAACTTCCCCACGTCGTCACTAACCTCAACTACTTTGGCCTACATCATGTCATCCTGATCATGGTCTGTAATGTCAAACTACAAAGAAGAGTCCCTGCAAGAAGTCGGCATAATGGAGAACTCTGCCAATGCCTCTAACATCATCCACTTCGGAATAAAGACATGGTTACAATATGAGAGGTTTCAACTTTCAAGCTCTCCGTTATATAATCATGCTTTGTTTTGTTAGAAGGAAATTTCTAATTTTCCAATACCTAACAAGACTATGGAGCAGACCCAAACAAACAACATCAACGGCTCATTCAAGAGCTAGGGCCCATTGGTGCCTTAAATCGGCTCACCTTTTTCTTCTTTTTCTATTAAATAAAAACAGCCTGACCTAATTTTTTAAGTTTCAGCTCCTCTCCTCTCACCACTACAATGGAAATCATCAATTGGAGTTCAAGATTTGTCTCTCTCTATAACTATCACCACATTCCCAAATTCGTATGTTTATATTAGGGTTATTAGATCTCTCTTCTTTCACCATGTAAAATGATGATCTAACCGCAAACCGGCAGACCTAAACCCCAAATTGGCAAATCTCTCTTCTTTCAACCTGTAAAACTATGTCTTATGGTGCATGGATGAATGAGAGATTATTGAAGGCAACAACAATCAATTTTAAGAGTGATTAGATTCAAATTTGTTGAAAATTGAATTATTCAAATCATAAGAACATTCAAATTGTATGTGAAGTCTGTCTGTGATTGAATTAGTGGTTGATTATGAAAATCCTGAATAATATAAATTTAGATTATAGGGTGAATTACATAACCTCCTCTGAGGTTTGTCCAATTTACTCGCGGCTGAAATTTTTGGTGAAAGTATGGTCAACCTCCCTTGAGGTTTGTCCAAATTTCTTTGATCCGTCAGGGGATAAGTCCGTCAGTGGAATACTTTTTAATTGTCAAAACTACCGTTGAGTAAGATCAAATGACTCAAATGACCTTATTAGTATCCCAAATGATTTCAATCAATTATATTTAGACAAAACTACCTGCTTATATCTCTATATAACCTACCCCATGTTCCCTTACCAGTTGTAACATTTCCCCCCTTTTATCGGCACCAAGCACACTGGTCAGTCTCTCCCTCTCTCCTCTCTCATTTTTTTCTCTCTATTTTTTTACCTGGTCACGTTCTCTCTTGGTTTTTTTCACCCCTGGTTTTCTCATCTCTCTCTCCCCCTGATTTTCATGAATCTATCTCTCTCTCTGATTCTCATTCTCATTCTGGTTTTATCTTCTTTCTCTCTCTCTATGGTTTTATGTTTTTTATCTCTATCTCTCATCTTCTCAATGGTCGATTGCCCCTACCTCCTTTCTTCATCTTATATCTTCCAGATTCCATTTGTTATACCAAGGACTCTGCAGGCTCATGTCTCTTGCCACAGATAAAGCCATAAATGTTGTATGATGTGCAATATTCATTCCTATATTGAAAATCTAAGGAACATGTAATTTGATACACCAAATTTGATAGAGAACACATATATCGTCCAGAAAAACAATCAATCCAAACTGGGTATAGATAATTCACCAAACAATTGACAAAATTCTCAAAAGTGCAAAAATGGGCAAGTATAAAAGGAAGAACCAATAAGATTAACACGTAGATATAGCTCAATTCAATAGAAAGCCCATACTCGTACATGAGGCCCATAAAATTAACAAATTCAAACTGGTATGGCTAAATTCACCAGAATTTTTCATCAATATCACACAGTTACACATATATATAGAGGGACAGAGAGAGAGTACCCCATTAGGTTCACTCGCAAATGTATTCGAAGTTCGATGAAGAGCTCATACATCTGGCCAATATAAGCAGCATTTCCGTGAGAGTAGAGAAGAGTGGAGCGGGCCATGGGGCAACGACGATCTCGGTGCCTTGACGGGTCGGTAACTTGAAAAACTCCGTCTGACAATTCTAATTCATAATTGTAGATCGATATTAAGAGAGTTGTTTACACAAGTTTCTATATACATCTTCTTACAAGCATTGCCAAAGCTTGCACTGATTAGATCATTGAAGTTAACTTGGTATGTATTTGGATGGGAAGAAATCCAACAACAACATTGGTTTTTTCATTTATCAGCAGGCTGAACAGCAATGTTGCTATGATTTCTAGCTATTATGACTGTGGGTGTTATATGGGGAAAATCAGATCTTGAAAATATTTTTGGGAGACTCCCATGACCTTTGTGGTTACTGTTCAACTAGGTTAGAACTTAGGGAAGTGACTTTCTTTATATTCTATTTGGCGGGGAAAAAAACATATGAAAAGAAAGTGCTCTTAGACTCGCACAACTCTCTGGATTTGGAGTCGGAAAGGCCATTTTCTAAATTCCAAGTCTCTCTCTTTAATATGATTTATTTGCAATTAAACATGATATTATATGATTTCATTCTTATATGAATGCTGGTTCCTAGGATTTAGTAGGCTTGCAATTTTATTCTATTTCATTTCATGTGATGCCCATGGCTCAATAAAATAGCATATCCTACTTTACAATCAAAGATTCATGCCTCAAACCATGGCTTAATACTTGAGCCTACTTATTTTGTAGTATCAATCAATTAGAACTTGCTAGTTAATATTGTTAATTAGAACTTGCTAGTTAAACAGAAGGGGAGAAAACCCCATTTGCAACCCTTCTCCATTTGCCTCCCAACCACCCACTGAAAGGAAAAAGGAGGCACAAGCTAAAATTGGGGGTGGGTAGAAAGATTAATTCTATAGTAGACAACGACCCTAATCATAACGCGATAAAGTTGACAAAACCTATGCTAATTTGAAAGTACAAGTTGGAAAGGAAGAGTCTACCGTTTTGAGGCACATATTTCTTCTTGCTGGGATCTGTGTTTGTGTTGGGTGTATCTACAGAACTGATAGATGGACATTAGAGGCTCCATATGGCTTAATGATCTGACTAATGAAATGATGATGTATTTGGGGCCCACTTTTAAACTGTTGGAAGAAAATATTTGAAGTTCTTTCGGAGTTTTGCCAGGCTCGTCAGTAAAGTATGGAGATTTGAAGTGAACTTTTATAGCTTAGCATCATATAATTTTGGTATGTTTTCTCTAAACTGCAGGTGGACATGGCTGCATTGAGGCAAATGGGGGACAAGGACCTTAAAGAGTTGGGAATACCAATGGTATCACCATTTTACTCTATTCAATATTTTGTAGAATAGTTCCATTCGCTGTTTCATTATAGTTTATGCAATCTTAACTTGTCATCAAATTCTGTTATTTCTTGTCACTAGCTAGAACTCTCATTTTATCTCACCAGTTAAATAGGAACAGATTTATTTTATAAAATCAGGAAGAACTAGAAAAAAGAGCGTTAGGAGAGAGTAATTCGTTGTTCAAATGACCTCATTTTTGTTCGACTGATATGAGGGAAGTTTAATGGTGAATCCTCTCTTACGCTCTTAACCACAATTCCCACATTGTCACCCAGAGACTTGTTGCAAAGCTTGCTGTCAAAATGCAACAGCATTTAGTGGACTGGATTTAATTAGTACAAGTTTGGGTTCTTTTGTACAATTTCTTTAGCCGTCAAACAGTTGTCATTACTTGAACTGAGACATGATACACTCAATGTTGTGGATTCTAGACTGGTCACTTTTATTACCAAGTGTATTAGCAACAACACCAACAACCAAGACTTTTTCCCAATTCCTTGGGGTCGGCTACATGAATCCTATGTTTCAATTCTGCTCTATTTAAGGCCATAGCCTCAATCAATCCAAATGCTATCATAGCTTTCTTTAATAACTCTGCTATCATAGCTTTCTTTAATAACTCTACTCGTGTGAACTTTGGTGGTCTTCCTCTTTTCCTAGTATTTACCCTCAATATGGACTGTCACTTTTCCTAACTGGCTCACTGAAAGGTCTTCATTGCACATGTCCGAATCATCTTAATCGATTTACTCTCATTTTATTTCCATTGGTGCTACTCCAACCATCTCGGGAATGTGATCATGTCTAGTCTAGTGCTAGTGTATTAGCAATAATCTAAAAGAATTTTTGGAGAAACACAAGATGCGCAACAACTTTTTAGCCCAGTCGAAGGACTTTTTGCCATGACTATCCAGGAATTACTTAGATATCATGTTCATATTGTTGCGAGATCTCCATTTGTGATTAGTGACTTAGTCTTACAAAGACCTTTCATTTGCAGGGACCGCGGAAAAAGATTCTCCTTGCAATCATTCCCCGTTCTAAATTCCAACAACGTTAACTGCCATTATGCAGGACTGCAATACATAATGTTTACTGGCACCAGTACATTTGAGAACCCTAATCAAGATCATAATTGTATCAAATGACATGCCTTCTCTCTTTTAGAAGGCTGGGTCTGTAAGTATTTTATTGCAGCAGTTAAGAATATGGTTCTCGTGGATGTGCTACTATTATAAGTATAGTGTAGTTCATTGGCTGGTTGAATCGTCACGATGAACAGGATATAGAAAAGTGAAGCAGTGAATGTATTATGCTGTATAAAGATCCTTCTGTTGATATGAGATTGTATATGATGAGATGGTGAATGTAGTGTTTTCAACATACATAATATCATTGATTGTGTAGAACAGACATTTAGGTAAAAAAAATTCTTCAGATATATGTAAATGTGTGTGTGTGTGTATATATATATTTATTTATACTTCTTGGGTGTGTGACAAAGGTCAAGGATGGGGCCGAGTCCATGCCCACCTTCTTGTCCATTGGTTGGCGTGTAAAATAATCATAATTTATCAAAAATTGATAGGTAAATTAAATAAAAAGAAAACAATCAGAATATTAATGTAATTGATAAAAAATAATTCTTTTACATGTTCTCTCAATCTCAGTAGGCTTTTACAGATGGAGTACTTGGCGGAGAAGCTGATTCACGACCTTTCTTTGAGCAATCATTGGCATTCCGTGAAGCCAAAGCCATCAAAAACTTGTTTGCTTCCTTATTGAAGCTTGCCGAGGCCGATGACGACGATGATGAGTTGTGCTTGCAGGCATGATCAGCAGGGAATCGATGCTTGAGGCAGACCTTAAGTTGGCAAGTTTTGCATGTGCTTGTGTTTGAGAAGGTCAGTATCTCTCTGCACCTCCTGACTGCACAAGTTGGTTTATTTTTCTTCTTTGGGTCGCAATCTCCAGATTTCTCATGTCTCTCCAACATCACCTTCTCGTCTTCTCCTTCGCGTCCGGTGGTTTCAATCGACGTTGAACAGATTTCGCAGACGACAACCTTTCTGCTATTATGGTCCTGTTTGGGGCAGTTGTGGGACTTGTATGCTCTGTGCTCCAAACAGAACGTCTGCAAACATGATCAAATAATTTCATTCATGAATCCAGCAACCTAATATATTCATCTTGGATGTGGGAATTCGAAACTCACCTGAGAAATCACCATCTTTGACCCAAAAAAAAAAAAAAAAAAAAAACCAACTAACTAATATTAAATTACCTTTTGACATGCAACGCATTTAAAAGGGAGAAAATCGAGTTGATTGCATTCTGAAAGTTGGCAGTGTATTCCCAAATCTGGAAAAGCTTCTGTTCCTCCTCCCATCTTTGTTCTCTCTCTCTAGGATTTTTGGTTTCTCTCTCTAGAAGATTGATGGTGGGGGAATGGACAATGGGACAAGTAAAGAAGATATTTGGTAACTTCACAGCCTCTTTATTTATAGCTTTACGTGTCGACTTGCGGCCTAAGCCAAATTTAAAGTCAATATCGAATTCCCCAAATTTAGATGGTTCTGGATTACGCGTTCCTAACCGGCCTTGGAGAGGGAAATACGTGACGTTAGCCCTTTTATCATCATATTCCATATGGAGCTCTAGTGGGACCCACTAAAAATCATGCAATCAAAAATCAAACAATCTTCACGCAGTGACGATGCTTTGTGATAAAAATTGTGAGCTTGATATTTTATTCACAGGATTAAAATAATTTTTGATTTTTTTTATTTTAACAGGTATTTGAGCCTTGAGGTGGTTGTTATTTCGGATGGAGAAGGTCATGGACAAATTACAAATATGGATGAATGAGTATTCAGTAAACTTATAAGGTTGAGAATAATGGCTCGGCCCGTTACAATAGGATTGCTAGGTAAGATTGACTGCCATTTTTGGGTTAAGAATGAAATGTACAAAGACGATACAAAATAAAGGCAACAGCCTAACGGCCAGCTTAGGCCCAGAAAACAATGATCGTGAACATAGGCCAATTGGCCCAAAAGCAGAGATGGCTAATATAAGTCCAAAAAGCAAAGATGGCTAACGTAACCCAACTGGCCCAGAAAAACAAAGATGGTTAACATAGGCCCAAAAAATAAAGATGGCTAACATAGCCCAATTGGACCAGAAGGCCCAGAACAAAAGGATTTCAAAAGACTTGTTACCGTCACAGCTTAACAGCAAAACAGGGGAACAATGGAGCTCCACTGCAATTCCACACGATGAAGATCAAATTAGTTGATGGTGAACATTAGCGAAGCGAATCAGAGGCAAGCTGGTCTCTTCTTATTGAATTGCTTGTTGAGAAAACTACTTCTGTAAATGTTCCAAGAAATATAGCAGGGTAGGGACAGACCCAGAAAAGTAAGTGAGAGGGATGACTTTTAACAAAAAAAAATATAGTGGGGGCAATAGTATAATTTTTCTCTAATTTCAGCAAAAGCAAACTCAAAATTTTTTAAGTATATAATTCAAAAAAAACAAAATTAATGGACATAATAGCAAAAAGAAAAAAATCAATATGAGCAATTGCCTCCACTGAGCCCATACGTCCGTGCATGACTTTGGGTACCTTCTCTCTCCACCATCATATTTTAAAAAGAATAGCACACTGATTTTCTACTTTCAAAACCTGTCTTGCCTTTAAAATATTATTGAAAAATGTGAATTCCTAGTTGCTGATGTAGGACAGAATTTTCGATCAACCTGTTTTGACTTGAGCAGGTCCATTTTTGATTGAAAACGTTTCAACAAACAATACACACTTGCTAAAGCTAGTGGCTCACGCTAGGTGTTTGTTTTTTTAAAGTCAAATTTAGTCATTTAAGGCTTGAAAATTGTGTTTTCCACTACTCTCACGAGAAAAGCTCAGCTGACAAGTGTAAGGACGTGTCGAGTTAAAAAACTATCACTTCATGTAAAATAATGCTAAATGTTATGTGTTTTTTTTTCTTGTATTTCCCTTTAAAACAATTTGAATATACTGCGGAGAAGATAATATGAAATGGAGTTGTATTTGAAATGGAGATAATAATAATTAGTTGTAATATTATTGTCCAATAGTTTAAAGTTGAATCCAACCACAAAATCCAATACATAATCTGCTGTCATATTATATGATAGATACTAGAACTTGAAAACTACAAAATGACTGCAACTTTATGCATTAGGTATATAAGATTTGGCTTGCCTACCCCAAGAATATATGTGCAGATCTTACTGAATTCCCTTATCAGTTTATATACTGACATCATTGTCCACTAATAGTATTCCCCTTTTTAGGAACTGTTTCCTCTCCCATCCGCAAGAGCATCCTCAAAAGGGATCCGGATGCGGAGTTTCTAAAAAAGTTAATCCTTTCAAGCACGTGATAAATACAAGACACGTACAAATAAATGTGTCAATTTTAATCAAATTTTTCTTTGCATGTCACTTTGTGTTGGTCGGAATCAAATAATCTCGCACCATGTAATAATTTCTTGGGACTGAGCAAACCAGTTTCCTTTATATTGATGACTTATTGATGACCTAGTATAAAAGCTTAGCCATGTTTTCCTTTGTAGTCGTCTGATGCCTCAAGTCCATGACAAAGGGTTTGGAGTGGGACTTTATTGAGAATTTTAGGCCTGCAAATTCCATCTCCACTCCGTGCATAAAACCTTGCAACTTTTAGCCTGATTCCAAGTGCTCAAATTGATATAGATCAGTAATTGATAATGATAAATTATATTTAACTTGCAAAAATGTTGCGTTCCCAACTCCCTCAACCATTGTGTGGAACACCAAGTCCAATAACAGCATTTCAGTCTTAATTCAGAATGGAATATTTCTTCTATATGCACAACTGTAATCAGGAACGGATCTATGTACAAGTTAGTGGGGACATTAATTTTTAATTCTTTTTAGTAATATATCTTACTATTTTATTTATTTTGATTTATATACTTATAAAATTACTAAAAAATTACATTATCGTCCCCCTCACACAATTTCTTAGCTCGGTCCCTGAGTGCAATGTGGTTGTAATGCATGATTGCAAGGAGAATCTCCATTTGTGATTAGTGACTTCGTCTTCGAAAGACCTTTCATTTGCAAGGACAGCGGAAGAAGATTCTCCTTGCAATCATGCCCCGTTCTAAATTCCAACAACAAAGTTAACTGCCATTATACAGGACTGCTATGTATAGGCCATTAAACATTAGTAAAGCAGTGAATGTATGCTGTATAAAGATGCTTTTGTTGATATGAGATTGTATATGAGATAGTGAATATAGTGTTTTCAACATACATAATATCATTGATTGTGTAGAACATACATTTAATTTATTCCCTCTGTATATAATTGATAAAAAAGGAGTTCTTTACATGTTCTCTCAATCTCAGTAGACTTTACAGAAGGATTACTTGGCAGAGACGAACTGGCAGATTCAAGGGTGGGCCTGAGTGTGCTCAAACCCATCCAAAAAAAAAAAAAAATTTACTTTAGCCCGGCCAAATTATTATTTATTTTTTTCCTTTCAGGAAGATGTACAAAACACCGTAAAAAGTAAGGAAAGTCAATATCCAACTCCTCAATTTTAGATGGTTCTGGATTACGCGTTCCTAACGGGCTTTCGAAAGAGAAATACATGACGTGAGCCTTTTTTTGTGATGTGTCCCACTAAAACATCATGCAATAAAAAATCAAACATTCTTCATGGAGTTGTGCATAATAAAAATTGTGAGTTTTTGGTATTTAATCACCGGATTAAAATAATTTTTGAATTTTTTTTTTTTACTGAACATGTGTTAGAGGTTGTTATTTAGTGGTTACGATTAATATGAATGAATATACATAGCAGGTTAAATTTTTGGATTTGAGGACAAGATTGACTTCCACTTTTACAAAGCTTATACTAAATAAAGACAACAACCCAACTGGCAACTTAGGCCCAAAAACAAAGATGGCCAACACAGCCCAATTGCCCCAAGAACAAGGCAAATATAGGCACAGAAAGCAAAAATGGCTAACGTTACCCAATTGTTCTAGAAAAACAAAGCTGGCTAACATTAGCCCAAAAAACAAAGATGGCTAACATATCCCAATTGGACCCGAAGGCCCAGAACTAAAGGATTTCAAATGAGGACATGGGAACATTAGCTGAGCGAATCAGAGACAAGCTGGTCTTTTCTTATTGTATTGTTTGTTGAAAAAATATACTTCCAAAATTGCAAAAGTTCCCTGTTCTGCCTTTAAAATATTTGCTAAACTAGAGGTCCCGATTTATAAATAGATGTAATTCAACTATCAATAATATATCAGATTACTCTGCAATTTTTTTTTTTTTGTAAATTCAAAGTTGTTCTTTTGTTCATTTGTGAACGTCGGTTCCATCAATTGCTTAGGTTAAGTTTTGCTTTGGGTTTGCACATAAAGCATACATTCTATTAATAATTAAGAATGTGGTCGGCCAAAAGGAGTATACATACATTCTATCACAGGTGTTACGAGAAATTAAGAATATGGTCGGCCAAAAGGAGCCACCCACAACAAGCCATACCAATAAAGTGATGATGATACTTTTAGTAAGTAATGGGTAGTAATGAAAGCAAAATGAGATTTTGTTAATATTAATAATTACTTTATTACTTTAACAATCGCTAAAAAAAAACAACTATGCTATTATCTACTAAAAAAATTTCATTTCAGAATCTTTGGTGAATGGTGTCTTAATTCACATGTTTAGTTAGTTTGATGATAGGTTGAATATGGAAAGGTGATAGATTTTTCAATCTTGCAGCACAAATAAACTACTATCACTTTAAGCAATATAATGCTAAATGTCACGTCTTTCTTCTCGTCTCTCTCTTTGAAACAATTTGAATCTACAGCAGGGAAGATAATATGAAATGAACATAATATTAATTTAGTTGTAACATTTTTGTCCAAAACTTTCAAGTTGAATCCAACCAGAAAATCCAACACACAATCTGCTGTCATATTATATGATAGATACTAGAAGTTGAAAGCTACAAAATGACCACTCTTTTATGCATTAGGTATATAAGATTTGGCTTGCCTACCATGATCTTACTAAAGACCCTTATCAGTATATTTACTGACATCATTATCCACTTATAGTATTCCTTTATTTAGCAACTGTTTCCTTTCCCATTTGCAAGAGCATCCTCAAAAGGATCAGTCTACAGAGTTTCTGAAAAAGGAGATCCTTTCAAGTAGATGATAAATACAAGACTACATAAGATAATCCTCTTTAAAGTACTGGAGTAGTCATGTTGTGAATGGGACTTAACCAGAAATTTTTCATGGTTAGGGATTACGTGGTCCCGGCCAATCACAAAGAGACACATAAGCAAATGTGTCAGTTTTATTCGCCTGATGTCCGTGACAAAAACGGTTTGGAGTGGAACTTTCTTCAGGGAATTTTAGGCCTGTAAATTCCATCTCCACTCTGCATAGAACTTGCAACTTTTAATTAACCTGATTCCAAGTTAATTGATAATGCTAAATTATATTTAACTTGCAATCAAAATATAAAATATAGTGTTTTTTTTTTTTTTTGTAGTTTAGAGCACCTTTCTACAAAATGTTGCATTCTCACCTGCTTTAATCTTTTGCGTGGTACACCAAATCCAATACCACGACCTAGTTCAGAATGGAATATTTCTTTTGTATGCACAAGTGAAATGTGGTTATAAATTGTAATGCATGAATTAGATAGCCGAAAGTGTAATTCAGCCATTGGATTTCTTTGTAATAGAAATAAATGGATTCAATTTTTATTTTATTTTTTTTATTTTTATTTTTTTGTGATAGAAGACTAATAGAATCCACTTTTATAGTGAAAAATAATCAATTTTATCGACTTTAAAGAAGAGAAACATATGAACACAAAACTCCATGATACTTCTTTCTGCGACCACCTTTTTCCTAAAAGTGATTCCCATAGGTCATTGACTTTTGAGATTATGAAAGTAAATAATATCCTGTTTAATTGTAGTGCAGGACTGATTCAAACAAACTTCAACAATATAAATTCAAGAGCACAAACGTCTTTCAGTGCATTGGCTGTGATGGAGAAGGGCGTGTTAGAACAAGACCGCGCTGCCTCTTGTCATCTCTCTCCAAGTTCAGGGGAGAACAAGCATGGTGGCTTCTTTTCCAACATGCAAGTTAAAGACAAGAAGCTCAGATTGTTCGGCTTTGATGTCGATCCACATCCAAATTATGCCATGGCTGAGAATGACAAAGGAGATGAAAATGCAATTTCTGCACATGCAGGAGAGAAACATGTCAAGGAGAGAAACATGAGGTATGAGTGTCAATTCTGTTACAAGAAGTTTACGAGCTCACAGGCTTTGGGAGGCCATCAAAATGCCCACAAGAAGGAGAGGTTGAAGAAGAGAAGACAGCAATTCGAGGCGAAGAAAGCAAGCATCAATTTCCACCTTCAACCTTTCCAATTTTCTTCGAGGTATTATAACCCTGCCTGCTACACACCAGAGTTCAAAAAACCACACTTCAATGGAAGCCATGATTTGTATTCATTTGGCCTACAAATTTGTGTTCCATTCCAAGAAAGTTCAGGCACAAACAAGTATGACAAGAACAATCCCTTTATAATTAGGCCTGCAGAATTGCCTGATTCCAAGCAGAGTTGTGAAATATTAGATTTCCAGCTAGGGTTTGTTGCAAAAATATGAAACATATATATGTTATATAGTTTTACTTTTTTCTTGGACTTTGTTGTATAATTCTTGTATAAAGTATAAACCTACTAGCATTGGAGAGAATAAAACACAGTTGTCTTTAATTTCTTAAAGCACACCAAATGAAACCACGGCTTTATTCATTATTGTGTATTATCATAGAACAGTCAATTTATATATGTTATGTGGATACTTCTAACCGTGTGAAAGTATTTTGAAAAAATAAAAAATGTACAAAACACAATAATATTTACATAAGGGAGATCAGGTTGTGACAATAATATTTACAGCAAGTTGTGACATGTGATGTCCGTTATGTAGCAGTTGAGGAAAACGAAGATCTTTCCTCCTAAAGTCATTGCAATTTCATTTATTTTCTATGGACTAGTGGGCCCTATGAGATGACTGATTAATAAGTATATGGGCTCTCTTCAGCCAGGAGCCAAAATCAATTGTTAGATTTATAAATCAAAATCTTATAACTCAAATGTTTCTTAGAGGTCAATGATAAAATATTCCGAAAAACAAAAAAGGGTAAAATACTATACATCATTTAAATTGTATATTATTCTAAATAATTTCCATAACAAAGAAGGAAGAAAGAATAGTTCAATGGAGCTATAATTCATACTAGTTTCTTATCAAGGAGAAATAATATAGGAACCACATTTGGTGTCACAATTGAATTCAATTAAATATGGGGATCCAAAATTCCATATGAATAATAATAATTATTATTATTATTTCAACTGGTTGATGAGGTGACAGTTACTATCAATCTTACCCACTGCAGGTTAGGGTTTTTGACTTGGTTTAATTTTGGGCCCTGTTGCAATAGTCTGGTACACCCAACAAAACTGAGGTGGTGGCTTTTATTGTGGTCAATAAGTTGCTCACATGGCTCTTATTGGCTCAATCTGATTGTGAGAATCACATCATTGTCCTGACAAATTATTACATAGAGATTTCGAATTTTGCCGGCAGATAAAGAGACTTGTATTGGCGAATCATGTTATGATTAGCGAAAATTTCATAACTTGAACTATGTAATTTCGAACTAATAATAATTTATCATTTGACATGTAATTTCTTATATCTATTTTTTTTTGAAGAAAACATAAATCAACTTTTATTAGAGAACATAATACTAAATAGAATTTGACTTTTATTTACTTATATTAGTCGAAACCATATATTTTTGAACCGCACTTAATAATTTGTCATTTTAAGTAGGAAAACATGGAACTTCTAGTATCAATAAACACCTTGGCTTGTCTACCACTTCACAAAGACTCACATTTGGACAAAATTGAAGTGCCCCATGAAAAATGAATAAGGAGTCTTTTTCTTCAAAATCTCCCTACTTTGCTCTTAATTTTATGGGCAATAAGTATACAATTATTTTAATGATTTTTTAAAATAAAGAAAGAAAATAGTAATTAATTAATCCATTGTCACGGGAATTGCATTGATTCAAATTAATTCACCATTTTTTTTACTTAATTCAATTATACCATATTTGAGTGCCACACTAATAGATTCGATCTGATCTGATCGTGTGCAAGTTACTATTAGAACTAAGTAGAAATGAATTTAAATTACTCCTTAATAAACATTTAATGGTCTATTCATACTTTGTTCAAATTTCACTGTAATTTATTCTATTAAAACCAGAAAAAAAAATATAAAAAAATATGTATAATTAATTAAGCTTAATATCATCACCTTTATGGAGATGTTGTAATGTATACATGTACTCAACTTATCATCATCATCATCATCAACAACCATTATGATCCAAACAAACCCTTAAACTCTCAGCTGTTAAAAGCATCACACCTGTGCCTAATCTCTCCTCTCCGACCCGTCTTGACACCATACACGCTTAGCTTCTCCATTGCTCGACCAAATGCCTCAAAGAACGCCTTCTCATCCTTCCCATACATCTCCACAAACGGCCTCGTCCTAGCATCCGAATACAGAGCATGATCCGACTGCAAAATCCCCAAGCCTTTCGGCAAATTCTGAAAATACATGTTATCGAACTTGTTCGGACTCATCACGTCGTTGAACACCGACAATGTCGGATTCTTCCGGTAATCGGAGCACGCATTTCTCAATCCTTCGGCATATCGTGGATTGTACGCCGGATCGGAGTTCGAATTTCGACTGTAATTGTAAATGTTTGAGCTGAATTCAGTACAGTGAGCGAGCCCAATTGTATGAGCACCACTCAACGCCACCATTTCTTGAATCGAAAACCCTCTCGAGCTGAAAATTGAAATGACTTGGGTGATCGACATTGTGGGTCTTGGAAGATTACCTTCCACGCGAGAGGATTGTGAGATCAGCCCATCTTTACGGCCTAATTGGACGGTGTAGTAGGGGCCGCCCATCATGGTGACGAGGTCGCGGGCGGCGACGGCGAGGATGTCGGCGCAGGAGACTGTGGCGGGGCAGGCGAGCTCGAGGGCGGTCTTGGCGCGGACGACGACGTCGAAGCCGTCGCCGGGGAGGGAGAGGTTGATGTCGGCGTCACGCTCGGCCTTGTTGAAAGGGGTGGAGGAGACGAGGACAGAGGCGTCGCAGCCGTCGACGAGGCAGTCGTGGAGGAAGATGCGGAGGGTGGCGGCGGCGGTGGTCGGGGAGGTGATCTGCTTGTTGGTGACGGTGTCTTGGACGATCTGTTCGAATCTTGGGCATGATTTTTGGTAGTAGTTGGGTGTGAGTTGCTGGGATTGGGAGGGAGTGAGGAGTGAGAGAGATGAGAGAGAGAGCAGCAGGAGTAATGGTAATGCCATAGGATTGTTAGAGAGAAAGAGTGTGTGTGTGTGTGTGTGTGTGTGTGTTTAGAGAGAGAAATGAAAGCAAACCAGAGGTTTTGAGTGTGGAGAGTGGGTTTGATGAGAGGAAAACGAAAGAGAGACTACACCACCAATCAAGGCTTGCTTGCTGGAATTGGGGCTCACTTTATGTGGATCTTTTAAGTGTAGGACCAGAATGAGTCAAGCTCAGGTTTTGATTATTTGAACTTGAATTGAGTGTATACAAACTGTACATACAAGTGTTTGAGTCAACTTTTTCACTATTTTAAGTAATTTGAACGCATGTTCCAACCTATTTGAAAATAAGTAATTTATATATAAATTTAATAAAAATCGTACTAAGTAAATCTAGTTTTAGAATCTTAATGATAGAATTTATTCATAAACACGTATTCATGAACATTTACAACATCTTAATAAATTTATCTACAAATTGTTTCGATTCAACCCGAAATAAACTCCAATTAAATTAGACTGAACTTTTTACAAAGAAAACATTATTGGGAGTCCTATGGTTATAATATGTGATCGAATTCTTCTTTCTTTTTCCTCTTTTTCTCAGTTTAATTAGAAAACAGAAGCTGTCGGCGGACCAAAATTTGATTTATTTAATGTAACATTAGCAAGTTTTTAAGAAAAACCTGTACGGGAGATTTATTTTGTGAGATGTGACACAGGCAACAGATGCAGAAAGCTTTTTAGTTGATGTGGCGACAAGGAACAATCTTTAATCACATATTCACATGGGTTGTTTTGCAATAATTGGCGATATACGTATTTTGTGTTCACATACACACATTTGTTTGATTTACGACGAGTTTGCAATTTGCATGTGTTAGGTGGTCCCACTCACGCCTACGATACTTCCAACTTCCACGTCTACGAGTGCGACTTTATGTCATACACACCAACCTCTTTTCTTTTGTTTTTGTTCTTCTTCTTATTTATTTTTCTCGTTGTTATTATTATTATTATTATTATTATTATTTTATTATTTTCATTTTTGACTTGAGAAGATAATATATATATATATATATTTTTAGTTGATATTCACACACACATGTCTTTACTGAAATTCGAATCTTTGATCTCTTTTTGAGAAGTAAGGACCTGATACTGCTACGCCATTGACTTGTTGGTAAGAGGATAATTTTTAGAAGATTGAATGTAAGAATTTTATTTTATATTTGTATTTATTTATTTTTCTCTCTCTCAATATTCAAACTCTTTAGTCTTTAACTTACAAAAAAAAAAAAAAAAAAAAACACACACACACACAGATTTTATGATTTTGAGCCATTTTCTCAACCAACTCATTTATATTTATACAGACATTACATGAGCTTTTGTACAAAAAGACCCCATGACCTCCTAATTGTGCAAATAAGTAGTATATGGAGTCTTCAATTTCTCAAAGGCTTGAAATTATTGGTGAGTTAATTAGAGTTACATGCAAGTCAGACTTTAAGTGGTTGAAATCAATCCATCTTTAATTTAGTGGTCTCAATCAAGATTGATTTTGAACTTCTTTTGTGTGCGATAAAAAAGCAAAAAAGAAAAAGGGATTGATTTTGTGCCATCAAGAATTAAGATATGTTCTTTTCTTTTCTCTCCATATTTCTTCTCGGCATCTGTTGTTAAAGATATAGTTAAAGTGGTTTCGGTTATTCGAATGAAATTATCTTTTTATTAAACTGGATTCCTAAAAATTATAACAGGGTAACTCATGAAATAAGGCAGTGGGCTCTTAAATGTAATCAAGGTGATCTTGCTTGGGAGGTGTTGCCATCTTGACTTTTAACATCTCTTGAGGTAGATCTTCCTTCTATTTCCTTTAAGATTTTTTTATTTTAATGGCTTTTGAAAAAAAAAAATAAATAAATAAATAGATTAAAAGCATTAAGATAATTTGACATGACTTTTGAACCTAACCTGGACCCTGGTTTTGGACAAAAAAAGTACTACCTGAAGCTAATAATGTTTCAACATCATGATAGAAACAGTGATCCTCATATCATTGAGCTTATATTTACAAATGTTTTGGAGAACCAAAGATATACGATAATAATTTGCACAAGTAACTTCTAAATTACTAAACACACTCTAGTCACGTGGTGATCTCTTCTACCTCTCAAGTGGTAGTGGTATTTGGGCGAGTTTTTATATTAAAAAAAAGAGTTAAAAAAACATCTAAATTACTAAGTAGGAATGACTATTGCAGTCAAGTCCATTATATCTAAACTAACGCTCGAGTTGAGTTTAGAAATGAAGTGTGAATTCAGTCTAACATTTCTAGTGAAAGCTTAGGTCAATTGAATAGTTAAACCAGTTTCAAGTTCTGTTTCAAGCATATTTGAAAAACAGTCGCAAAAAAAATCTTGATAAGCAAGTCATGCTTGCTCATCTTAATGAGTTCATTCATAAACACCTATTCATGATCTGTCTTTATTAGTCAACAAAACAATTTTAGAAAAGTTTGGAAGCATGGACAAGTCAATGAAAACCAAAGATCAAATGATCTTTTGAGCTGTAGACTTCTTTTGTGTGTGTATGTGTTTTCTGCTCATATTTTTAGACCTGATCAAGAAACATAAAAGTAGGCATTTATATATGAATTATAATTGATAAACATTGAGAGAAATGCTGGAAAAAGGCAATTCTTCTCATGTCAATGAACAAATGAAGATGTCATTGATTAAACAAAAGTATGTGTCCAACATAAATTCAAATTGATAAAGAAAGGTGAATAGAGAATTAAGTAGGCAAGAAAAGAAAGAAATCTAGTTTTTTTTTTTTTTTATTCAAGTGGAAAAACATTCAAGTACAGAGCAATTGCCAAAGCCAAGTCCATAAACATGTAGTACAAAAACTGGATTCACACAAGCTTAACTATTTAGGCTTATGCATCAGAAGAACCCCAACACTAAACATATTGTTTATATCTGCCACTCCTAATGAAATCAATGAGTTCTGAATTATATGAAGTTCCCATTATCACCTCATATTCCCTCCACCATCTCATGAAGCTGCTCTGCTCCAAGAAAACCTCAGTGGATACCTCAAAATTGTTTATCAAATTCATCGCGTAGCGATCAAACTCAATCAACTTCACCTTCGAGGATTCCTTATCTGCCTCACTGGTTTCTCTAGCCTGCAGCAATTTGCATGAAATCATAGCCTCCTCAACATGTGCCCAAAAGCAAGAATCATCAGTAAGACTGGAAGCTGCAGTTCTCACACTTGCACTGTTTCGAGGGGCATCATTAAGCCACTTCTCCAAGAAGACATAATGTTCAGATCTTCCTTGAGTTTTGTAGTCCCTTTGACCTTTCCTATAGTAATCAGCTATGTCAAGTGGTTCAACCATCCTTCTATAGGCTGTTCCTGCATAGAGCCACCGAGTACGAAAGGATGCTCCCTCCTTCTGGGGCAACTTATCTGCCTCTTCAACCATAGTCTTCCAGTAAAGGGTGAGTCTTCTGTGGTGCATCACAATAGTTCCCCGGCTTTGGTCCAACACGTTCTTGTAACTATCGTAGTAGCCTCTATTACCTGTGCTGACCTTCTTGTACCATTCAAGGTACGCCATGTCTATTTTCCTGTCATTTAGTTTTTTGTTGGGATCAAAAGCAGATCTCTTCTGAATTATAAGATTCTTTGTTCTTTCTTCAATTTTTGTTATGGGAGCGTTGATGTCACTAGCTGCCCATTGCGGCTGCTATTTGGAAAAATGAGGTGTTAGAGATATCAGAAAGGACACAAAAAGTTTAAACATAACAAATTCTGCTTCAACATGAGAGAATGCCATTATTTTGATGATATCCAAAGAGAATGAATCAAATAGAAATAGGATAGAATTACCTGTGAGGTCTTAATACCAATTGCTTCTAGTTGTGTGATAATTCCTCCGCGAAGAGTACTTGACATGCCAGTCAGACCTGAACTCCCCTTACAGATTGCCTTCGATTTGAGGCATTCCAAAATCCTAGTATAGTTGTTAGGATCTTGATTTCCAACACCATCCGACCTCATTGCCACTAGCAATTCCGAAACTGATTCAGGTTCCTCAAAACAGGCACAGCCGGATTCAGAACACAAGAGAAATGTACCAAATGGCTGGTAACCTCCATTTTGGGAAGTTGAGACAAAAAGTTTGGGGATCGGATCACAGTTGGAGGCTACATGCAGAAAACAAGAAGTCCAAGTTGGGCGTTCGAGTATAGCTTGTTGGAAGCCATAGTCCCCAACAAGGGGTGATCCAAAAGTGATGCAAAGGGGGCGCTTGATGGCCTTCCCCTTTGGAGAAATGCTTTCAAGCAGCCATAAGGTGAAGAGGGAGGCAATGGATCCCCCTATAGAGTGTCCTGTGATAATTATCGGAGTGGTAACGTCAAGCTGCATAAAAGATGCAAACATACCTCAAAATTAGTATCTGGCATTCCTAATTTTCCAGGTTCTATCAATCTGATTTGAACGGTGAACATGAAACAAATGTTTCCTAAATGCAAATTGAGTTCCTGTTTTGGTGACACCCATTGGGCTGCAACTATTTCAATGCAAAAGTGTCTAATTGTCATCATTTGTTTTGTGGTACGAGAGTCACCAATGTTGACTATGAGGCTACAGTGAATCCCAATATCCGTTGGGGTTTGGATTTGCTCATTATGAAACTAATATTCCATGAACCCAAAGAAATGATATGTAGTCTTAATCTTGATGCTAAAATAATCATCATACTTGTGATACACACACAAACCATTGTTTTGAAGAATTTGATGAAATCTTCCAAAGGGTAATTGATTATGCATTCATTTTTGAGTCATACCTGTGATCAGAATCTCTCTCTCTCTCTCTCACACAGTATTGTTTATGCAAGAACTGAAATGAGCTGCAAACATCTATTAACTGCATAGTTTTATAGAATTTGATGAAAGCATTCATTGGGTAACTGATTATGCATTCATTTTAAACCTTGGAAGTTAGTTACTGTACTGGTGTCCTACTGTAAGGTCAACTGCCAAGTATGACTTGTTTGGATAACCAGAAATTGGGGTTTCCTTTCAGTTTGACCACAGTAACAACATTTCATGATCTATTCTTTCTCAAATTGTCCAATTATCACAACTGCCATAACTAACATAACAGAGAGAAGTTGAGAAGTGTTACCAGCTGGTTTTTCAGGTGAAAGAGATCATCGTAGCGAGATCGAAGAAGGGAAATTGCAGCTTTGTGAATGGAGAAGGCTTGGTTGCTTTTGGTTCTGAGAAAATCAAAGCAAGGAAAAGCCTCTCTTCTAAGAGTTTCTGATGAAATTAGTTCTCTGCCATCTCTTTCAAGATGTTGTACAGTACAGGTAGGTGAAGAGCCAAAAACCACAATAGTACCAAGTAATGGATGTGTATAAACACTGTATTTAACAGAGGGAGGTAAGTTTGGATCACTTTGATTGTTGTCCCTATCAAGCTCCAAATTTTTTATCCATGATTGTTGGAACAGATCTGAGCTCACCACCACATTTGCAAATTCTATTCCACTGCTGAAGCTGCAACCCAAAAAAAAAAAAAATGATAATTAGTCTTGTTTAGTAAATTTTCATAACTTAGTTATAAACCAAAATAAAAGGGAGTATGAGATTGCCACACACAAGGAAAATTGATTCATCTTCTCTGTTTGGTTAGGTCTGCTTCAGAACTCAGCAACAAGACATAGACAAGTGGACAATAAAAAGAGAATTGAGTTTCATTTTTCTTGTAATTTAGGTAAAGAATAAATTGATTGGGCCCACCAAGAATAAAAAAAAAGAAAAGAGAAAGACTTTGATTTAGTCAGTCAATGAGGATTAAATTTTCATTACTGCCTGCTGGGAAGCTTCACAAAAGTAATTTTCATTACTGCCTACTGGAAAGCTCCGCAATGACAAGGATGGCCCATCACTTATACTAGCGTGAGACAGACTTGATCAATTTCTTTTTCACTAAAGTCTAATTTAATTTACACCCACCACTTAATAAACAAAGTTGCCACACACTAATTTCAACTTAATTCAAATTAGTAATTTAATAAATATCATCAGCTACTAAACGATTTTTTTTTTCTTTCTTTTTTTCCCGAAAAAATAAATACTTGAAAAAACCAAGCCATATTCTAGAGTTGATGCTCTACATGATAAAATATTAGCACAATAACATTGTCACTGTTTTTGGTGGGTGTGATGCCTTATGTTCCATCCATAATTTTAAATCTGAACTTATTACAGAGTAATTTCTATGCAATGATCAAGTCCATACAGATTCATTAATTTTAAATTTCGATGCTTTTAACATCTTTGTCCCTAAATTTAAATAAAGGAAAAGACTTGGAATAGTGAGTCCAATGCAGAACAAATTTAAATTATAGGGAAGATTCCCATGCATGACTAGGATGACCATGACTTTTGGACTGAAGTATGAGAGTGAATTGCTTTTTCACCAATTTTTTCTAGGGTTTTTGTTAGTCAATTGCTATTTTAAAAGGTTATCATCAAAGCTGGAGTGAACACAATTGTTTACAAGCAAGAGGAAGACCAGTAAAGGTTATATTCTAGACCTGGGTCCAAAATTTTCCACAAGTATGGACATTAATTTTTATGTAGGAAAAATTTTAAACAACAAGAAATGTAATAAAAAATAAATAAATAAAAATTTATAAACATTAATTTGCAGTTTTGTACAAAATCTGGAGGGACCTTTGTGTCATTTAATATTAGATTTGTTTAAGCAGGAAAAAAAAAAAAAAAAAAGTAAATGTCCTTTTCTCTTCATCTACCTTTTTTTTTTTTTTAATTTTTTTTTTTTTTTTTTTTTTTAGTGTAGTGCTTATCTTGAGCCTCTCAAGTGCAATATTATATTGGTATAAGATAGATGGTGAGAAATGAAGATGTCATTGATGGTTCAAGATTATGTGTGCCAAGTGTTTCCTTTACCTCCATAGCATCTAATATAAATTTAAATTGATAAAAATAAGAGAGAAGATACGTAACAAAAGTGACCTTTTGTGACAAAAATTTTACTGACAAAATTAATTTCGTTGCTAAATTATACTTTTTTTCAAACAAAGAATAGGAATTTGAAAAAATCAAATAATTTTAGAGAGAGAACCAGATTATAATACTTTTTTACTGGTTTCTCAGTTAGGAGGCTAGTGTAGTAATTATATTGAGAGACCCAAAAAGAAGTTAACATAAAAATAGTAATTAATTATTGAGAAAGAAAATACACGCGTCAATTACTAAACTAACGACTGAGATTTCACAGTCGTGAATGCAACTGTGATTAGCACCCCTCATTATAAGGTTGGTCACTAATTGTTTGTTGGGAAAAGAAATCACACTCCCACGGTTCTTGCAATGGCGCTTGGGACGTCGTTTTGGTAGGTATTAGTGACTAAATTTATTTGGTCCCTATCTCATTCGTTATCCTTGCGTCATATGACTTTATACATTATGAGTTAAATTTTATGAAATGATCTCGTAAAGTCTTTTTTTTTTTTTTGAAGGCAACCACAACAAAGAAATAGAAAAATCAACACAAATCCCCTAGCAAAGCTTCTCCAACATAAGCAGGAACCGAGGACCATACAGGCTCAAAAAAATTGGAAAGAAAAGACCATCTACATATTTCATGAGCCACCCTATTACAGTGTCGTGGAACCCAATTCAACGAAAAATCTTCTCTATGCTGAAGAAGAACCTTGATATCGCGAACAATAGTGGCCAAAGCTTCTTCTGATGAGCACAACTTCATAATTGTTTGACAATCCCCTTCAAAAATAATTTTAGGCTAGCCCCATTGTAAACAAACTTGTATTGTCGCTCGGAATGAAAGACCTTCAGCTACCACTGGTGAAGAAACATCTTGAAATAGCCAAGAGCCCAAACTAAGAACACGCCCTTCATGATTTCTAGCAACATAGCCACCCCCACATGATTTTGAAGAAGAACTGAAAGTTGCATCAACATTAACTTTAACAAAATCATTAGGAGGAAAACTCCACTGAGGACTTTGAAGCGGAGCATGATGAGGAGCAATGGATAACAATTTATTTTGTCTCTGGACTTCAGAAAATTCATGTTAGTCAAAAACGGCCTTTTCAACCAGAGTTTGAGGATCCACCATTTTGGACGAGAAAATGAAGTTGTTTATGTTTTTCCACAAATGCCAGCAAATGTATGCTGCTAGACTTGCGCATTCCATATAACAATCATCATTCTTCCATAGTTCAACTAAGGCAAGCCATCTCATCTGCCAAATTGTCGAATTGGACTTTGAAAAATCCAACCGCAAAGGGCTTAATTTCCATACCCTTTGAGCAAAATTGCAGTAACACAAAAGATGGTCCACTGTTTCCTTTGCTATCCCACATATCTTACACATAACCTCTGTTTTAATTTTTCTTTTTTTCAAGTTGTAATTGACGGCAATTTTTTCGTGGACACATTGCCATATAAAGAACTGCACCTTCCTGGTAGTTTACAAATGCCAAATCTCTTTCCAATTTTTTTCCAACTGAGATGAATAGCTACAACCCTCCCCTGGTGGTGCAAAAGAATTTGATATTTTCAACACATCTAAGGCTAAAAAATAAGCACTTTTAACTGAAAATTTTCCATCAGCTGTTAATCCCCAAATCTTTGTGTCCTGAGCATCTTCAAAAGAGATGGGAATTTGGAGAATTCTTTCACCGTCAAGAGGGGTGAATGAATTTAAAACCAAATCTCGCTTCCAACGTCTAGTGTGTCCGTCCATAAGATCTCCCACCAATTGAATATCATTACCAGATGGAAGGGATGACACGTTAAAATTCTTTTTCCCTGGTAACGAAGATTTTTCCACACATTAACTAATTTACCATTTCCAATCCGCCATTTCATACCCTTCTTAATCACTTCTTTTGTAGCTGCCAAACTTCTCCATAACCATGAACACCCAGCATTACATGGAGAGTTGATAAAATTGCAATTGCGAAAATATCTCTCTTTGAAGGTCTTAAAAAGCATGGAATCGTCACCCACTTCAAGACGCCAAGCCAATTTCGCAAGCAATGCAACATTAAAAGCTTCTAGGTCACGAAATCCCAATCTACCCTCTTTTTTATGCTCACATAATTTCTGCCAACTGACCCAATGAATCTTATTGGAATCGATCTTGCCTCCCCACCAAAATTTCTTCATCTTACTTTTCAGAAAATCGAGAGTTGAGAGAGGAATCTTAAAGCACTGCATAGAACAATTAGGGAGAGCAAAGAAGACCGATTTCAGGAGAGTTTCACGCCTTGCTTTAGACATATATTCCCCTTTAAGAGATTTAGCTTTTGTAGAGACCTTTTCTTTCAAGTAATTAAAAGTATCATTTTTAGATTTCCCAATAATTGAAGGGAGGCCCAGATAACTATTGATCCAATCGACATTTCGAATTCCCAAGATCCTTCTAAGATTGTCTCTTGTGTCTAAGGGTGTGTCAGAACTAAAGAAAAGGTTAGATTTGTCAAAGTTGACCAATTGGCCTGTTAATAGACCATATTTTGTGAGAATGTCCTTCAACGACTCTGCTTGCGATGGAATGGCTTGACAAAACAAAATGGCATCATCGGCAAAAAGCAAATGAGAAATAGCAGAGCAACCACTTCCTAAGCTGCACCCTTGAATTTGTTTTTCCCTTTTTGCTTCTTGTAAAAGAAGAGACAACCCTTCCGTGCAAAACAAAAACAAGTATGGAGAAATTGGATCACCTTGCCTTAAGCCTCTAGATGGTTGAAAAACAATCCCACACTCCTCATTTATCTTCAAAGAGTATGAGACTGAACTGATACATTCCCCAATAATCTTCATCCACTGATCTGCAAAGCCCATTTTGTTCATCATACAACATAAAAAGTTCCATTCAACACGATCATATGCTTTTGCCATATTAAGTTTTAGAGTTAGAAAATTAAATTTCATTTTCTTAGTTTTAAGAGCATGCAACAGCTCATGAGGAATGGCAATATTATCGTAAAGTCTAATAACCTAAATTATACAAAGTGGGGGCCTGAAAACGATAATTAAGTCATAAAAATTTTGAACTAGGAATCGCATCAAGCCTTGTTAAAAAAAGTTGTGTGACTAATCACTCCAACCCCCAAAATTTCCCCTATTTCCCCACCGTGCGCCCAATTCTCACACGATTTTTAAACTTGAATGCCAATACTCAATGGAGAGAGAGAGAGAGAGAGAGAGGACCTGCTACCGATCGCACCGTCGCCGGCAGTTCATCTGGACCATATCACTTTGTCACCGATCAAAACATTATCGTCACCACGACAATAAAAATAAAGGTATGGAATTTTGTGTCGTGGAATATTTAGAGCATCCAATGGAATTTAGAAATTAGGGCTTTGGGTTATATATTTTTTCGAAGCGATCAATTTTTCTCAAACCCTAACTATTGGGTTATATAGATTTTCCAAACAATCACTTTCTCTCAAACCCTAACTCTCTCTTTTTCAGCAGACCTTTCAATAACCCTTATGTTGGGTCTTCGATCAACCGTTGGAGATACTGAGTTTTTTTTGGTGCAATTATTTGTTTCTCCTTCTGGTGTCATATCTTGAGTCTGTAATGATATATATATTTTTTTAATTGACATTTTTTGTTTTTTATTAGTGATATATTAGAAATAGAAGCTGTTATTTTTGAATTTTCAAATACACTCGTTCTTTGACTGTCAGAATTGTGAATTTTTTTGTGTGTGAAATTGACAGAGCTTTTCTTCTCACATTGTGATACATTAGAAATAGAAGCTTTTGCTTTCTAAATGCTCAAGTATACTAGTTATTTGACTGTGGCTCTATTTTGTTAGAGAATGAATTTAAATATATTTCTACAACAAAATTAATTGAATTTAATGGAACTTTAAGAACCTTGTTGGAAACCTGGGTACTCCTATTGTTAGTTCTCTCATGAAAACACATTTTTTAAGTAGACTATAGGGAGTATACTGTCTTTAAAAATTAAGTTCTACTCTCTATACTCTATAGGGAGTCTACATTTGTATGTAATTAATGTAATATTATGTACAAATTTTCTGGACTCTCTAAAGAACAGCTGAAGATAAATACATCCAACTATTAAAGAAAAATCAAATTATTAGGATACTATATGATTAGAATTTAGCCTTTACTCACATAAAATTAATTGTCGGACCTCTCTATCATTACTCAAAAATAGATAAATAACAAATAAAACAAAAGGAGAATAGAGAACTAAGGAGACAATTAAGAAAAGAAATGTACTTGTTTTTTTATTTAATTGGGAAAATATTCAAGTACAGGGCAATTGGCACAGCCAAGTCCATAAACATATAATAGTAGAATACAAGATTCACACAAGCATAACTAGTTAGGTTTATGCATCAGAAGAGCTCCCAACACTAAACATATTGTTTATGTTTGCGATTCCTCATGAAATGAATGAGTTCTGAATTATATTCAGTTCCCATTATCTTATCATACTCCTCCCACCATTGCATGAAGCTGCTCCACTCCAAGAAAATCTCAGTGGATACCCCAAAATTGTTTATCAAATTCATCACGTAGCGATCAAACTCCTTCAACTTCTCCCTTGAGGATTCTTTATCTGCCGGACTGGTTTCTCTTGCCTGGAATTACTTGCATGAAAGAATAGCCTCCTCAACATGTGCCCAAAAGCAAGAATCCTCAGTAAGACTGCAAGCTGCTTTTCTCACACTTGCATTGTTTCATTGAACTTCTGGTTTAGTATCATCTACTCGTTTTTTATTTAATTGGGAAAATATTCAAGCACAGGGCAATTGGCACAGCCAAGTCCATAAACATATAATAGTAGAACACAAGATTCACACAAGCATAACTAGTTAGGTTTTTGCGTTAGAAGAGCTTCCAACACTAAACATATTGTTTATGTTTGCGATTCCTCATGAAATGAATGAGTTCTGAATTATATTCAGTTCCCATTATCTTATCATACTCCTCCCACCATTGCATGAAGCTGCTCCGCTCCAAGAAAATCTCAGTGGATACCCCAAAATTGTTTATCAAATTCATCGCGTAGCGATCAAACTCCTTCAACTTCTCCCTTGAGGATTCTTTATCTGCCGGACTGGTTTCTCTAGCCTGGAATGACTTGCATGAAAGAATAGCCTCCTCAACATGTGCCCAAAAGCAAGAATCCTCAGTAAGACTGCAAGCTGCTTTTCTCACACTTGCATTGTTTCGTTGAACTTCTGGTTTAGTATCATCATTCAGCCACTGCTCTAACAAGACATAATGTGCAGATCTTCCTTGAGTTATGTAGTCCCTTTTACCTTTCCCATAGTAATCAGCTATGTCAAGCGGTTCAACCATCCTTCTATAGTTTGTTCCTGCATAGAGCCAGCGCGTAACAAAGGATGCTCCCTCCTTCTGGTTCTGGGGCATCTTATCTGCCTCTTCAACCATTTTCTTCCAGTAAATGGTGAGTTTTTTATGGAAAACGATCATATGTTCCCGGCTTTCGTCCCTCAAGTTCTTCTCTTTGTAACTATTGTAGTAGCCTCTATTACCTGTATTTTCCTTCTTGTACCGTTCAATTCTGGCCATGTCTATTTTTCTATTATTCAGTTTTTTGTTGGGATCAACAGCAGCCTTCTTCTGATCTACAAGATGTTTTGTTCTTTCTTCAACTTTCGTTATGAGGGCATTGATTTCACTGTTCCCCAAATGCTGCAGCTATGATTTGAAAAAATGACGTGAGAAACAAGTAAAACATCATCAAAGGACACAAAATTTTAAACATTACAAATTTTGCATCTACATGCTTCAGCTTTGATGAGTGTTCTGAAAGAATGCCATTATTTTGATGAGTCTAAATAATGCTTTCTGAGATTTTCTTCTTATTATTTATACCTTGAGACGGGTTAAACACAATATCTTAAAAGAATGAATCAAATAGAAATAGGATTGAGTTACCTGTGAGACGTTCTTAATTCCTATTGCATCTAGCTGTGTGACAATTCCTCCTCGAAGAGTATTAAGCAGGCCAGTCAGCACTGAACTTCCCTTACAGATTGCCTTCCACTTGAGGCATTCCAAAATCCTTGTATAGTGGTTAGGATCTTGATTTCCAACACTAGCCGATCTCATTGCCACTAGCAATTCTGAAACTGATTCAGGTTCCTCAAAACAGGCACAGCCGGATTCAGAACACAAGAGAAATGTACCAAATGGCTGGTAACTTCCATTTTGGGAAGTTGAGACGGAAAGTTTGGGGATCGGATCACAGTTAGGGGCTACATGCAGAAAACAAGAAGTCCAAGTTGGGCGTTTGAGTATAGCTTGTTGGAAGCCATAGTCACCAATAAGGGGTGAGCCGAAAGTGATACAAAGGGGGCGTTTGGCTTTCGGGGGAATGCTTTCAAGCAGAAATAAGGTGAAGAGGGAGGCAATGGATCCCCCTATAGAGTGTCCTGTGATCATTATACTCGTGGACGTGTTGGTCATAATGTCATGCCGCATAATGTCAAGCTGGAAACACACACACACACACACACCCCCCTCAAGATTAGTTTCTGGCATTCCGACTTTTCCAGGTTCTATCAATTTCTAATTTGAATGGTTAACATGAAACATTTGTGTCTTAAATGAAAATTGATTTCCTGTTTTGGTGACACCCATTGGGCTGCAAATATTTCAATGCAAAGGTGTCTAATTGTCATCAGTTGTTTTGTGGTACAAATGCCGCCAATGTTGACTATGAGGCTACAATGAATCCCAATATCAGTTGGGGTTTGGATTTGCTCATTATGAAACTAATATTCCATGAACTAGAAATTATATGTAATGTCAATCTTGATACTAATATATTCATGCTTGTGATCAGAAGGCCAGTCTCCCCCAACACACAGATACACACCCCCCATTGTTTATGCAAGAACTGCAATGAGCTGCAAACATCTATTCTACTGAATTGTTTTGTAGAATTTGATAAAGGCAACCAAAAGGGTAATTGATTATGCATTCGAGTCATACCACAGGATCAGAATGGCAAACACAACACACACACATTTTCATATGGTCTAATCTTTCTCAAATTGGTCAATTATCACAAACTGCCATAACTAACATAACAAATAGAAGTTGAGAAGTGTTACCAGCCTTTTTTTCAGGTCAGAGAGCTCATTGTACCGAGATCGAAAAAGGGAAATTGCATCTTTGTGAATGGAGAAGGCCTGGTTGCTTTTGGTCCTGAGAAAATCAAAGCAAGGAAAAGAATCTCTTCTAAGAGTTTCCGATGAAATTAGTTCTCTGCCTACTCCTTCAAAATGTTGTACGGTACAAGTGGGTGAAGTTCCAAAAGCTACAATAGTACCAAAGAGTTGATGTGTATAATCTCTGTACTTAAGAGAGGGAAGCAAATTTGGATCACTTTGATTGTTGTCCCCGTTAAGTTTCAATTTTTCATTTTCATTCCATGATTGTTGGAGGAGATCTGAGCTCACTACAAAATTTGCTGACTCTATTCCACTGCTGAACCTGCAACCAAAAAGTGAAAAAAAAAAAAATGGAATTTAGACATGATAATTATCTGTCTTGTTTGATAAATTTACATAGCTTAGTTATATAAAAAACAAAATAAAAGAAAGCATGAGATTGTTACAGACAAGGAAAATTGATTCATCATCTCTGTTTGGTTAGGTCTTCTTGAGAACTCGGCAAGAAGAGATGGACAATAAAGAGAATGAGTTTCATTTCCTTGTAATTTAGGTATATAATAAAATGATTTGCCCACAAGAATTAAACAAAGAGAAAGACTTTGTTTTAGTCAGTCAATGAAGAATAAATTTGGAAAAAAAAACAAAGAAAGAAAAAAGATGAAGAAAGAAGAATAGATTTTCATTACTGGGGGCTTCACAAGTAATTTTCATTACCGTCTACTCGGAACTTTCACGGTGCTAGAGATGGCCCATGGCTTGGACCAGTGTAGGACAGTGATTTGAATATTTTTAACAAAATTTAAAAATATTGATGGAATTCTATGCAATGACCAAACGCTGTCTGTCCGTACAGATTACTTTGTTTTTACTAGTTAGTTTAATTCGACACGACTTCTTAAGCATTCCAAAATATCTGTTTGTTGGTATATTCTTCCCTCCGTGTTTCAACCGCAATCGTCAGAATCATAGTTTGGTGACCCCAAAAAAAGTGCAATTTATTTATGTTTTGTCTTCGGTCATTATTGTGGCTTCAAAACTCTTGTTTCACCGGATTTTGATCCAAATTTTTTTAACCATTTTTTGTCTTACGGTTTCTATTCGATTTCAAGTCTCTGTTATATCCGGTAAGAAAGGTTCGTTTTCTTAAAATACTAAAAACCCAAAATAGGTAAGAGTATGATACACAAAAAGAATATATTGGGATTAAGGTTAATGACACCGTAAATCTCTTTTTTTCCTTCAAATATTTTCAGCTATCTTTAGTGTGTTCACGGGCTATATAATCCGAAAGCTATATAATCCGAAACCACTGTGGTGTGCGTTTTTCATTTATATAATTACTTGATTGATTGCACTTTGCCCATTTGTAACAAGTTTAAATTGCTTTTTAGTATTTCTTTCGGCCTATAAAATTTTTAATTCAAAAAATATATATAAAATATTGTAAAATATATTGTTTGAAAAAAGAAAGTGAATAATTATTTTAAGAAAAATAAAAAAATAAAATATGGCAATTTTTTTTTTTTTTTTTTGAAACAGATGAAATATGTTTTGGGTTACTGTTTTTGGGTTTTATGCATCTGTAACTTCAACTTTTGATGCTGGT